CCAACACTTGTATTATTGTTCATGTGGTATCCAGTAAGAGTTTAGTAATTCACGTGATAACCATGGTGAGCAAGAAATTGGGTTTTAAGTTTAGAGCAATAAACTTATTTACCCTTTTCATATTATATTTGTGGGTGATATGTGATAGTTTTCTTGATAGTTTTCCCATCCCTATTAGAACTTGAGTAACATGTAATGATAATGATACTAAGTGAAGGAGCTAAGACTTACTAGTATTACTATGCATTAGTAGTAAGAATAGCAGTATGCTAAGGTTTTTGTTGGTACAACAAATACGTAATACAATATTTCTGTATATTATGGTTTCCTGATTGGGTTTCAACATTGAAGTTTGTGGCTGGCATTTAACCAGCCTATTATAAATGGATCTATCATTTCACTTGGCATGTACTGTTTGTACTTTACATATAGGAATTCATTATGAAATACTCATGCACACAGTGAATTACTAAAACACAAAAAATGGCAGAGAAAATAACATAAGACATTATTATTTATTAGAAAGTGAGACAACAGTTTTGAAATCATCCTGCAAAATGAATATAAATAAATGACAAGATTCACTGATGTGCATGACTGGGAATAAAGTACAACAGACATACATAAAGACAGAGATACCAGCACATACTTTAACTGCTATATACAACAATTACTGTATGGATTCCAAAATATCAAAATTCTTCAACTGGAGGATGCAGGGCAAAGTCTACTAATACTTGCCATATGACACCTGAAATGACTGTACTGTTCCAAGCCTCTTAATACAGATTTAGGGCTTCAATTACAAAAACAGATGAGAATATTTCGTGTACCACATCCATGACTGGTCTTTGGATTTCCGATATGTGCAGTTCTTTTATGGCTCCAATGCTGTTAATTGGCTCAAAACTTTTCCCAGTGCTCTGATTATTTCTTGATGCTTTAGGTAAAATGATTATATCAAGTCAAGATTGTTTTCTGAGAATTCTTTATTATTATTGTAAACTAAAAAAAATAACAAGCTGTCTTGAAAATTGATTGTACAATTTTCAATATCAATTATCTATTTAACAAAAAAACATACTGAGAAATAGAACTTATCTCAGACAAATAACTGAAAAAATGACTGGCTTTTTTGTAACATGTAATTCTGAAGGAAACAAATTGCCATCTTTCTAGATGAATGGAAAATATTGATTCATAACATTAACTCTGTAAAAATACTTACAGAACGGAAAATTATATTACACTGTTATTTTATGTTGAAAAAAGAAAGAGCTAATCATGAGAACACTAATGCAATATTGCCATTCAAATTTATTATTACAACTTCTGAATAATATACTTAAATTACTGAGTTAAAATCAAATAATCCCATGGAATACTGCATAACATGTGATTCAAAAGAATTCCATGAAAGAATGAGTAATATCTGCTTCAAAAAGCCTTTGCAGCTAAAATAACTGTCCAGACTTGGAGAACACTGGGATTAGATATTGCATGAAGAAGGAAGAAGGAGGAGGAGGAGGAGGAGGAGGAGGAGGAGGAGGAGGAGGAGGAGGAGGAGGAGGAAGAAGAAGAAGAAGAAGAAGAAGAAGAAGAAGAAGAAGAAGAAGAAGAAGAAGAAGAAGAAGAAGAAGAAGAAGAAGAAGAAGAAGAAGAAGAAGAAGAAGAAGAAGAAGAAGAAGAAGAAGAAGAAGAAGAAGAAGGAAGGAAGGGAGGAAGAAGGAAGAAGTGATGTCAAAGTTTTAAATGATAACCCTACAACATTGCGAGACTACAGGACAGGTGAATAATATTGTAAGTGTACAGATTTTAACTATCTGTAATCTTTAAAATCTATTTAGTGCTATATGAGCTTCATGTCTAGCACATCTATTTGTTTTAACCATTAACCCATTGCCGCCAGGGAAAATGAACAAAAAATGGGGGAAATGCTGTGCCTATTTTCTATATTTTTTTTTTGTGAAATGTCTGCCCATAGATGACTCTGTTAGTGCCTGATTTGAAATGGCGGGAAAAACATATTTTTTACTAGTGCCACGAATATTGATGGTGTTATTTTTATTATAAACGTTATAATTTTTATAATGTTTTATAACATTAGTAACAGCAAAATAAGATAGAGTAAAATATTTTGTAAATCAAATAAAAGGGTGAACGGGCGAGACAGGCGGTACTCGTAACTGGCTCATTGGTGATTTAGTACAAGTGTAGCCATCTATGTGTGAAAACAATTCAACAAGTAATCTCACAGTGGGCATGGCATGGCATGCTGGGCGGGAATGGGTTAAATCATTTAAAACTTGTTAGTAATATTTTGCCACTGGATGTGTCTATAAAGTGTTTGTGAACACAAATATGTGTACAGATTGAAGCATGTGCATTTATGTTATAGAAAAATAAATTGGATGTTGTGCAAAATTTATAGGACTAGCCAATATAGCAGAAAGTAATAAATCATACCAACCATGTTTTTGGTGGATCTATAAATCTGCTTTAGCACAGAGCCTACCCAGTAAAAAAGAAGCTGTAATTAGGTTCACTAATTCATACAACAATAACCAGTTTGAAGTTTTTGGGACAATTCCTAAATAACAAAGCAGATTCAGTCATTCTTTCCACTGTATCAACGGAATAATAAATGCATGCAACATGACAAACAGGTCTCACTCGGCCAATCAAGTGATCAAGTCATCCATATCTTCATCTGACTGACTCTCTGCTGAACTACTGTCACTCATGCCAGCTGGGTATCCTCCATAACTGTTCTCACACATCTGCAAGTCTGTCCAGGATTCTACAAGACAAAATAGTTAGTTATGTGTGTATATATTATATTTGCAAGATTCGTAAAAAAAAAATTACATTCAATTCTTATATTTCACTAATAATTCACAATTATGATTTTGTGATAAATTTGAGATCCACAAATGACCCCCCAAAAATCTCGAAATATAGTAACAACACTGTAAACATCAAAGTACAAAATCAATGCACTTAAACTTACTTTTGAGAGCAGAAACTGATGACTTTTCCTCGTCTAAGCTTGAGCCATGGTAGGCCATCTTCAACCATGGACGTTTCACCTTCTCAGCAAAAAGATGGAGCCATGTGCCTATAAAAACATAATCATCAGCAGCTATGTTTAAAATCACAGGTTTTGTCATCTATCTCCTTGAATCATGTAATAATTTATTAATCATTCTGAATTTAGGTTATGACGAAGACAAGAGGAACAAAACATTCTGGATCGACAGAAAGAAGAAAAACTATTTAAGGCAAAAGAACATAATATAAAGGACTTACATTTTGATTTCTTAGTCAGATAAATGTGCACGGACATGCCTTTTAATTTGAGTGAGCATGAATCAGTTTCAATTTCATTTGCCAAAGTCTCCTCAATAACATAGAATTTATCTCTCACAACAGTCCTGCATGAGAAAAAAAAGAGAGGCAGAGTAAAATTAGACAGAAAAAAAAGCATACACAATGAATATTATTCACACATAAAGTTCTTAATTTTGCTTTTAATATTACTTTTCTCCTAAGCACTAAATAGTTCTAGAAGCAATGACTGTAGGACACCCTTATATATGATAAAAGGAGTTCAAAATGAAAAAAAACATAATGCAGTCAAGTTACTTCTCAAAGACCATTCCATACGTGGACTTAACGAACCTGCACTATTTTTACCATGGGAAACTAGGTAATTAATTTAGATGCTGAACCCAACTAGAAACAGAACAAATGCAAAAATAAAGCTTACATAAAGGTCAAATGATTCCTTGCAAACCGACACTTGTAGTGCTCAACACCCAGCAAATGTACATTGATGACAACCAAACTGTCCGTCTGATTCCAGGTTGTCTCGGGATATAACCTGCGTGTAATGTTTTTTACAGCCTCTAGGGGTGGCACAAGTAGACATAGCTGGTTGAACAAGTCTGTATCCGCCTTAGAAGGTTTTGCTTTTCCATAAGATTTGGCGCTCTCTTGTTGCTTGTGTGGCTTGTGGACAATTTTATGGTTCCGATTACTGGCATTTTCTGGTGATGAATGGTGGTCGATGATGAGCTCTTCTGTCTTTCTGTGATTTGCTAGTTTTTCCTTTTTTATATTTTCATTTTTCCATGACTCCCCTTCTTGTTTGCTGGAGCTGGAAGCTGACTTGTCGAGGGCACTGCAAATTTGTAAAGCTTCAGGCAAATCACAGGAATTCTTAACATCTGTCATAGTTCCTTCTTTGTCTTCTTTTTCTTTAGTTTCTTCTTTGTCTTCTTTTTCTTCTGCATTATTATTCCTGATTGCATTTGACCATTCCTATAACAGTGATATACAAGTTAACATAGGGAAAAATTTTTTTCATATGTAAATGTTTTTATGTTCATAAAGTGCTACTTACTGTTGATTTTCAGTGCTCCTGTACATGCACACTCACTATTTCACACACACAAACATTCACCCACTCACTCTCACACACACTCTCCCTCTTTCACATACACCCACTCTCTTACACACACATTCTCTCTGAGACAGAGAGAGGAGGAGAAGGGGAGAGTGAGAGAGAATGAGAGAGAGATGGGGAAAGAAAGGAGGGAGGCAGGGAGGGAGGGAGGGAGAGAGTGAGGGAGAGAGGGAGAGAGGGAGAGAGGGAGGGAAGGAGGAGGGAGGGAGAGAGAGAGAGAGAGAGAGAGAGAGAGAGAGAGAGAGAGAGAGAGAGAGAGAGAGAGAGAGAGAGAGAGAGAGAGAGAGAGAGAGAATAAGAGAGAGAGAGAGGGCAGGGGGGAGAGGGGGGAGAGGGAGAGGGAGAGGGAGAGGGAGAGGGAGAGGGAGAGGGAGAGAGAGGGAGAGGGAGAGAGAGAGAGAGTGAGGGAGAGGAGGGAGAGGGGGAGAGGAGAGAGAGAGTGAGAGAGTGAGGAGAGAGGAGAGAGGAGAGAGAGGAGAGGGAGAGAGAGGAGAGAGAGGAGAGAGGAAAGAGAGGCAGTTCTGAAGATAAACAAAACTGATTCCTAGTGCCTCTGGAATAACTAGAAATCTCAGCTTGAACCTTATGTCAGTAGCAAGACTACTGCACATTGAAAAAAGTTAAATACATAAAACATAATAAAATTATGCATCATCTTTAAACTGCAAACAAAAATATTGTGTAGACTTCATACAAACCTTGAAATTGGGTAAATTCTCTAAGAACATCATTGCCTCCTCTCTGTCTAAGCATGATGCATTAAGCACCTCTGTTGACTGCATAAGATTTTCAAATTCAACATCTTCCTTGATCTGGTTTCATATAAAAGAAATGATAGGTATCAGAGATTAAGACAAATATGCTGAAATTATAATGTCTAAAACAAAAGCACCAAAGAAAATCCACATAACCAATGACATTAAGTGATACAGACACTACCAGTATAAACATAGCCAGTACAATTCACTATACTTTGCAGATAAAAATAACTAAAACCACCTTAATGCATTTTTTATTGAAATATGTTAACACCCTTGGCTAAAAAAAATATAAATAATAGGAAATATCAAACACATATATATTCATATTCATGAAATGATTACACTGTAAGATACCTGGTTTTCCCCATAATTCTCATTCAAAGACTGGTGTGCATTCATGAGCTCCTTTGACATCTGCCTTGGTGGCTCCACTGAGCTGTCAATTAACTCTACCCTGTACATTTTCCCATCCTCCGATTCAACTATTTCTATAACCTGAAATTGGTTTAAATATCATTACTATTCACGATGAAAAGTGGTCTCATATAATGATATTGTATAATGCAATTACCACAGACTGAAGGAGAAAACAAAGGTTGAATAACATTAATAAAAACATATATCATGAGAAATGCAAAAAGAAGAAACCAATTAATCACCTTTGCTATCCAGGTCTCAACAGAATCAGCCACTTCCTCCATAGCTCTCTTCACGTCTTTTAATTTTGCTGGTGGATAAGTGAAACTGGCCAAACAACATGGAATAGCTTGGGCAGGCAGAAGGTCCAGAAGATATGATGGACATGGCTGAACCTAGAAAAATAAAACAACAAATTAAAAACATGTCTATGCTATGCCTCTTTGCTCGTCTTATTCCTTACTCCAAAGATTATTAAGTAATATGATCTTTCCACAACCCTTTTACTCTACACATAATACCAACATTTTAACACCATACTTTTCTTAAAACTCAATTCATACTTTACCTGACCAGAGGGTATAATTAAAGTCTCCCCGTGGTCGACAAAAAAGACCTTACTGGTGTCATCTGGCCCAACTCTGTCCACCCAGCCACGGTAGTAACTGGCAATGGTAGAAAAAAAGTTATTTGCCATAAAGTTATATTTGCTGTACAGGGCACTCAATGGTCACTACTCATATTCAGAAGTGATTTGAAAAAGATTGAAGGAAAAAAAATTAAAGAAAAAAATTAATAAAATAAAATGAAACAAAATTAATAAATAGTCTACCGACATGGAAAAGGAAAAGGTGAATATGCAGTGAATGAAAGAGGAGAAAAGAGATTAAAAAAGAGAAGATTTGGAAGGACAGAGAATAAGAAAAGGAAAAGGAAAAAAAAGACCACGAATAACAGGAGTACATACAAATGTCAGCGACTCTTACTTGCCATCAGAAAACTTAGCCAGACAGTAGCTAGAAGCCGCAAGACACGGCTGCTCATCCCATTTTAAGCTTTTTTCATGAAGACTCTCTTTACTGTCTGTTAGCCAATGCTTAGTTATCTCTTGGACTTCTAACTCAAGTTCATCCAACCTACAGGAAATAATGACATGAATACATACATAAAATATACACATAGATAATGGTGAAATATGTTGACTGATTTAAATATCTACTGCAATGTACAATAGTAAAAACAAATCACCTCATAAAACAAAAAATAATAACTGAATACTCATACCTTTCATAATTATCTGCACGCTGAATAAAGAACCAGTCGGGAGATTCTATTTCTGCAACACCAACTTCCACATCAGTATCCAAGGGCAAAGATTCTTGTAGCAAATGAATACCTATAGCTTCACTTCTAGCAGTACTTGACATTTCAACATTTGTAGATAAGTCTTCTATTTTCTCGAGATCATTACTGATATCCTCGTCTTCGTCAACAGAATCAACTTCTTCTGGGCTTCTAGTACAAGCTTCATTCATTCTAGGCTTATCTTTGGAGTTATTTAATTCAGACAGCTTACTGGGCTCCTTATTTTGTTCTGTACCTTTTAGCAAGTCCAGTGCCTTATCCACAGTCATCTTAAACAATTCACATGACAGGTCCTCAGGTTCCAAGGATATACCTGCTAATTTACACATCTGTTTCAACCTTTCCATATGAGCAATATTACTTATTCCAAATCCATTAGAAATAAGTCTAGATCTTAGAGATTCCATCTTGAACTTACTTTTCCCTGCCTGTGTCAACTCAGTCACAGGGCTTAACCAGAGTGTTGAACCAAGTGCTAGTTCAATTTGTCCAACAAAAGTACTTTTGTTTATGTTATTGCTGAATATATCATCAATGTACTTTGATGCATGGTAAGTCCATTCCTTATCAAAATCCAGAGGTTGAACTCTACAGAGATAAACCTCGACAATAAGTGGTGGCATCAGTGCCAGATGGTTTGGAAGAATATACAAGGAATTCTGCTCTACAGTTACATCACTTCCTTCATCTAAGAGAAACACAACACTCATGACAATATGTCTTGAGTAATCAACTTCTACAATTTGTCCTCTTGCCCATTTGTCCTTGCATTTAACTGCACAGAGCATTCTTGGTTCCATGATGATCAACTGCTCACAGTTTTCTGGATCAGCATAATACTGCTGTATGGCCATGAACAATCTCAGGTAGTGATCTCTCAAGTTAAATTCAGGAACCCCTGCCTTCTCCCTAAAACTCAAGAGGCGCACTAAATACCGTGATGCATTTATCACTTTGATAACACTGAAAGTAACTTCACCCTTTCTTGGAATCACACTCTCAGTATCAAACTTTTGTATTCTATGCCTAAATCCACAAGTGTAACCTATACAACACTTACCATAAGCTTTTAAATAATAACACAGTGCATCATCTTGGCTACAGCTTGCCATAAGTTTAGTTGCTACACATTGAAGCTCTCTTGGAACTTTACCAGTTCTTTCTATTTCAAGCACAAGAGGAGGAAGCCGCTTCACCGATTCTTTGGACAATATTATGTGAGACTCGCAATTTACGGTGTCACGATTTAAATCTGTTGAAAAATTATTCACCATAAAAGCATACCTCATTTTGAAATTACCAATGGAGTTTGGTATATCTGCATGAATAATGAGGTCTGCATTTGCTAATTCATACAGGAGGAGAAGTGATGAAGCCTCTTGGCAGACTATCAAAACTACATTTGCTAAAGAGTGCCATTCCTGAACTATGGATTTCATGACCCACATTGTAGAACAGCTTGTTACAATTAAGGAATATACAGCCACAGCATCCAGCAATATTTTCAGATTCCTTGCCTGACTATCATCACCCACAAACACCAAAATCCTTCCATGTCTGTTATCTTGTAAAAGTTCAACAAGTTTATCTTGCTCTGTCCCTATTTCCTCTACTTTGTGAACAAAGGTATGGGCTCTAGTAGCTATTACAGCCTCCCAAGGATCAGCAACAATAATAATGGGCTCAAGAAGAGGAGTTACTGTTTGTGTCAATGAATTCAATAATTTGGTCCATGATGATGCAACTAAAAGTAACTGATGTTCAAAGTCCCTTCGGTCACTTTTGCTCTTTCCTTCACCCCAGTAAGTAAGTATCTGTTTCACCTCCACTGCACAATTCTCCAAGATTGAATCAACATCATCAAATACAAGATAGCAACACCTAGCAAGGGATGTAAATGCTTTGGTGCCACTCTCTTCATCTGCCTTTGCAAATTCTGCAGTTTTACCTGTTAGAAGTCTCACCAAACATGGGGCAGTTGTAACCAGAATGTCACAACCTCCAAGTAACTGGGAGTTGGTATCAATTACCTCTTCATTGCCACAACCTCCCCAAGCTGTGATGACTTTTAGCGACATTTTTGCAGGTAGGAATCTAACCAAAGAATCAGCAGCATATTTTGCACTTCTCCAGTCTTTGCAAACAATAACCAAAACAGCCCCAATGCCTTGGGGAAGACGACGGCTTATGTGCTGCCATGAGTCTAGAATAACAGAAATCAAAGGTACAACATAACCATAAGTTTTGCCACTCCTTTTGCCTCCTACAATGATGGCTGAAGTGCCACGGGTTATAGCAGGCCAAGCATATGCCTGCAGTCGTGTTGCTCTCATATCTAAATCATTTAGTATTTTTACTATATGACAATTCAGTATTGCATCAACCATGTTCTCATTAACAACTACTTCTTCCTCAGCAACAGGGGACTCCCCAGCTACAAATATCCTGAACAATTTTGCAATGCAAGGGCCCTCTGGCATATTTTTCTCTCTTAATGAGATTGTCAATTCTTCCTCAACATCTCCCATTTCCTCTCTGTCCCAAACATCTGAAATAAATGAGGCAATAAGATGACTGTTCACCTTTCTTGCACTGCAGTCAATAGTCTTCCTCTTTTTCTCATGCATAATTATATCCCCCTCCTTACACTTTCCATTTTGCATGGGTTCTGATTTTTTTGTCAATATACTACTTTCTTTAGAGTCAGAAATTTTGCTCACCGCTTTAACATCAGACAGACTAGATTTGCCAAGCTTAAGGTATAATCCTCTTCCACCAGGTGATCCCATGTTTAATTCTTCCTTTTGTTTAGATGTTCCTGTGAATCTTTCAGCAGTCTGAGGTGATATCTGAACACTACCCTCAGGAACAGTCTTTGTGGCTGAAGAAGCATCAGAACTTACATCATCCACCAAGGACTGTTTCTCATCACTTTTCTTTTCAGATGATGAGAGATTGCAGGTTTTACCAGCATTCATTTCTTCGTTTTGTGTTGGAAATAACCCTTTTGTTGAGCTTTTTTGTCCTGATGATACGGGAACAGGAATTTCTTCTAGGCACAGATTAGAAACTGAATCAGATTCCGAGCATTCAGTTTCACCAGACATTTCCACTGGAGAGTCAGAAAACTCAGTCTTTGGGCTTCTTCCAGATTTTCTGAAAGCATGAATAAATAAAAAATATAATAATAATAATAATAAAAAAAAAAAAAGCATTAAAATCTGGTAAACCACAAATTCATACAGGTTACTCGTTTGACAAACTCAACTGCAAATCCGCGCTAGAGCTTCCCACTGACAGGGGAGTTGAGGTTCCACATTTATAAAAATCAAACATGCTCATCAGGCCTCTCCCACGGCCAGACGACTGAAATGACGTGTCAAGCACTTCAGCACTTGATTCTAGGTTGCTTGTGCTATTGCTGCTGTCGCTTGTATGACAAATCATTCGAGTTAAACCTCTACTCCTTGATACCATTTTTTTTATGGTCTTAAACTCTAGCTGTTGGGGGAAAATAATCATTTCACTTTTCTTTTTCTCAATGCTGTTTTAACTACAATATACTTTTAGCATGGGAGATTGAGAAATATGAATCATAAAAGCACAAATTATTCCACAAATTTGATAGCTAAAAATTTATCATTGACTTTCGTTTTTCTACATTTGAAAGCCTAATGTGAAAAGGATATTATCTGGCTCCGTTTTTTTTCACATTGGAAGGAATATTTTCCACAAAACCTCAAAATTCCAAAATTTGAAAGCTAAGAATTTATTACTGACTTTTGTTTTTTCTACATTTGAAGGCCTAATGTGAAAATGATATTACTGGCTCTTTTTTTTTCCAATCTGAAGGAATATTTTTCATAAAAAACTCAAGGAGAGGTGAAATCAGGTGAGGTCATGAGGTCTACTAATTGACTACTTAGTGACAGAGCACAAGTGGAGCTATCTATGTGCAGTGGTATCCTTCAAAACAATACTACAGTGAATACTACATTTTCCCAGCATTAATCACAAAACTTATATCATTCTCACCTTTGATGATCCTTGAAAGTCTTCCCTGCTTTCTGTTGCAAAGTCTGATTCATTGCTAACTGTGTCTTCTTCTGAATTTTCTAACAAAACATAGCAGGTCAAGTGGTAAGAAATATGTTATGAACACTGGGTATAAATAAATTTTCTTACAAAATACAAATGTTTTAAAAAGTTAGTCATAAATTAATGTAAACCCTGTGGGTTAAAAGCACAGCCATAAATTGTATAGAAATATGGGAGAAACAGAAGGGAAAAGTAGAATAAAAGCAAAAGAAGCTAAGAAAGAATAGGAAAGAAGGGAGAATATATGGGGATAGAGAAAAAGAAGAGAAAAGAAAAATGAAAAGGAGACAAAGGAAAACAAGAACAACAATACTCACCTCCACCATTTCTTCCTTTCATCCTGTCAACAAGAAGCTCAGTTGCAAATTTTGCAAAGTCGCACATTACAAGCAGCTTGGCAAGGTCCACGGCTACTTCTCCATCATCTTCCTTTGGCCATTTTATTTTTGCTAGTTCAGGTATTGCTTCCCAAACCTCTATTCTAATATACAGGGTTAACTGGCCATGGAAATGTCCTGTAATAATTTTTTTTGCTACTAACAAGTTGACATTGCTTATAGGGAATTTATGCAGCTGTATTCACTGTAATGATATCAACTACCTTATAAATTTCCATGTCATTCCTCTATACTGATATGTTGCTTGTAATTTTGAGAGAGCAATAAATCAAATACAACTGACTCATACAACTCTTAATTTAGTTTCAAGGAAATATGAAAAAAGACTTGCTTGGATGTGAATTAAAAGAGTACCTTTATACCTGTATAAAGTAAAAGAAACCTTCTATCTCCAATGACTTAAGAGGATAAACATTTTGTAAATCATGCCTTTCCATTTCAAAGAAAACTTTTTAAACTACCATGTTCTCCTTTCTGCAGTGGCAAAAACTCTGCTCTGGGTTTAGACTCGACAAGATTCTTGACAAAAAACGTTGCAGCTGGGTCCCAAGTCTTGCTCTCTCTGCAACAAGAGATACAAATATTAAAAAACA